ACAGTCAGTATCATGGAGGGTAGTGGTCAGCCTGAAACAATACACTCAGTATCATGGAGGGTAGAGGTCAGCCTGAAACAATACACTCAGTATCATGGAGGGTAGAGGTCTGCCTGAAACAATACACTCAGTATCACGGAGGGTAGAGGTCTGCCTGAAACAATACACTCAGTATCATGGAGGGTAGAGGTCTGCCTGAAACAATACACTCAGTATCATGGAGGGTAGAGGTCTGCCTGAAACGATACACTCCGTATCATGGAGGGTAGAGGTCTGTCTGAAACAATACACTCAGTATCATGGAGGGTAGAGGTCAGCCTGAAACAATACACTCAGTATCATGGAGGGAAGAGGTCAGCCTGAAACAATACACTCAGTATCACGGAAGGTAGAGGTCTGTCTGAAACAATACACTCAGTATCATGGAGGGTAGAGGTCTCCCTGAAAGACTATATTCAGTATCATGGAGGGTAGAGGTCTGCCTGAAAGACTATATTCAGTATCATGGAGGGTAGAGGTCTGCCTGAAACAATACACTCAGTATCATGGAGGGTAGAGGTCTGTCTGAAATAATACACTCAGTATCATGGAGGGTAGAGGTCTGCCTGAAAGAAAATATTCAGTATGATGGAGGGTAGAGGTCTGTCTGAAACAATACACTCAGTATCATTGAGGGTAGAGGTCTGCCTGAAACAATACACTCAGTATCATGGAGGGTAGAGGTCTGTCTGAAACAATACACTAAGTATCATGGAGGGTAGAGGTCTGTCTGAAACAATACACTCAGTACTATGGAGGGTAGAGGTCTGTCTGAAACAATACACTCAGGATCAAGAAGGGTAGAGGTCTGCCTGAAACAATACACTCAGTATCATGGAGGGTAGAGGTCTGTCTGAAAGAATATATTCAGTATGATGGAGGGTAGAGGTCTGCCTGAAACAATACACTCAGTATCATGGAGGGTAGATGTCTGGCTGAAAGAATATATTCAGTATGATGGAGGGTACAGGTCTGTCTGAAACAATACACTCAGTATCATTGAGGGTAGAGGTCTGCCTGAAACAATACACTCAGTATCATGGAGGGTAGAGGTCTGTCTGAAACAATACACTCCATATCATGGAGGGTAGAGGTCTGCCTGAAACAATACACTCAGTATCATGGAGGGTAGAGGTCTGTCTGAAACAATACACTCAGTATCATGGAGGGTAGAGGTCTGCCTGAAGCAATACACTCAGTATCATGGAGGGTAGAGGTCAGCCTGAAACAATACACTCAGTATCATGGAGGGTAGAGGTCAGCCTGAAACAATACACTAAGTATCATGGAGGGTAGAGGTCTGCCTGAAACTATACACTCAGTATCATGGAGGGTAGAGGTCTGCCTGAAAGAATATATTCAGTATCATGGAGGGTAGAGGTCTGTCTGAAACAATACACTCAGTATCATGGAGGGTAGAGGTCTGCCTGAAACAATACACTCAGTATCATGGAGGATAGAGGTCTGCCTGAAACAATACACTCAGTATCATGGAGGGTAGAGGTCTGCCTGAAACAATACACTCAGTATTATGGAGGGTAGAGGTCTGCCTGAAAGATACACTCCATATCATGGAGGGTAGAGGTCTGTCTGAAACAATACACTCAGTATCATGGAGGGTAGAGGTCTGTCTTAAACAATACACTCCGTATCATGGAGGGTAGAGGTCCGCCTGAAAGAATATATTCAGTATCATGGAGGGTAGAGGTCTGCCTGAAACAATACACTCAGTATCATGGAGGGTAGAGGTCTGCCTGAAACAATACACTCAGTATCATGGAGGGTAGAGGTCTGCCTGAAAGAATATATTCAGTATCATGGAGGGTAGAGGTCTGTCTGAAACAATACACTCAGTATCATGGAGGGTAGAGGTCTGCCTGAAACAATACACTCAGTATCATGGAGGGTAGAGGTCTGTCTGAAACAATACACTCCATATCATGGAGGGTAGAGGTCTGTCTGAAACAATACACTCAGTATCATGGAGGGTAGAGGTCTGTCTGAAACAATACACTCCGTATCATGGAGGGTAGAGGTCCGCCTGAAAGAATATATTCAGTATCATGGAGGGTAGAGGTCTGCCTGAAACAATACACTCAGTATAATGGAGGGTAGAGGTCTGCCTGAAACAATACACTCAGTATCATGGAGGGTAGAGGTCTGCCTGAAACAATACACTCAGTATCATGGAGGGTAGAGGTCTGCCTGAAAGAATATATTCAGTATCATGGAGGGTAGAGGTCTGTCTGAAACAATACACTCAGTATCATGGAGGGTAGAGGTCTGCCTGAAAGAATATATTCAGTATCATGGAGGGTAGAGGTCTGCCTGAAACAATACACTCAGTATCATGGAGGGTAGAGGTCTGCCTGAAAGAATATATTCAGTATCATGGAGGGTAGAGGTCTGTCTGAAACAATACACTCAGTATCAAGGAGGGTAGAGGTCTGCCTGAAACAATACACTCAGTATCATGGAGGGTAGAGGTCTGCCTGAAACAATACACTCAGTATCATGGAGGGTAGAGGTCTGTCTGAAACAATACACTCAGGATCATGGAGGGTAGAGGGCTGCCTGAAAGAATATATTCAGTATCATGGAGGGCAGAGGTCTGCCTGAAACAATACACTCAGTATCATGGAGGGTAGAGGTCTGTCTGAAACAATACACTCAGTATCATGGAGGGTAGAGGTCTGCCTGAAATAATACACTCAGTATCATGGAGGGTAGAGGTCTGCCTGAAAGAATATATTCAGTATCATGGAGGGTAGAGGTCTGTCTGAAACAATACACTCAGTATCATGGAGGGTAGAGGTCTGTCTGAAACAATACACTCAGTATCATGGAGGGTAGAGGTCTGTCTGAAACAATACACTCAGTATCATGGAGGGTAGAGGTCTGCCTGAAACAATACACTCAGTATCATGGAGGGTAGAGGTCAGCCTGAAACAATACACTCAGTATCATGGAGGGTAGAGGTCAGCCTGAAACAATACACTCAGTATCATGGAGGGTAGAGGTCTGCCTTAAACAATACACTCAGTATTATGGAGGGTAGAGGTCTGCCTGAAACAATACACTCAGTATTATGGAGGGCAGAGGTCTGTCTGAAACAATACACTGAGTATCATGGAGGATACAGGTCTGCCTGAAACAATACACTCAGTATCATGGAGGGCAGAGGTCTGTCTGAAAGAATATATTCAGTATCATGGAGGGTAGAGGTCTGTCTGAAACAATACACTCAGTATTATGGTGGGTACAGGTCTGCCTGAAACAATACACTCAGTATCATGGAGGGTAGAGGTCTGCCTGAAACAATACACTCAGTATCATGGAGGGTAGAGGTCTGTCTGAAACAATACACTCAGTATCATGGAGGGCAGAGGTCTGTCTGAAACAATACACTCAGTATCATGGAGGGTAGAGGTCTGTCTGAAACAATACACTCCATATCATGGAGGGTAGAGGTCTGCCTGAAACAATACACTCAGTATTATGGAGGGTAGAGGTCTGCCTGAAACAATACACTCAGTATCATGGAGGGTAGAGGTCTGTCTGAAACAATACACTCAGTATCATGGAGGGCAGAGGTCTGTCTGAAAGAATATATTCAGTATCATGGAGGGTAGAGGTCTGTCTGAAGCAATACACTCCATATCATGGAGGGTAGAGGTCAGCCTGAAACAATACACTCAGTATTATGGAGGGTAGAGGTCTGCCTGAAACAATACACTCAGTATCATGGAGGGTAGAGGTCTGCCTGAAACAATACACTCAGTATCATGGAGGGTAGAGGTCTGCCTGAAAGAATATATTCAGTATCATGGAGGGTAGAGGTCTGTCTGAAACAATACACTCAGTATCATGGAGGGTAGAGGTCTGTCTGAAACAATACACTCAGTATCATGGAGGGCAGAGGTCTGTCTGAAAGAATATATTCAGTATCATGGAGGGTAGAGGTCTGTCTGAAGCAATACACTCCATATCATGGAGGGTAGAGGTCAGCCTGAAACAATACACTCAGTATTATGGAGGGTAGAGGTCTGCCTGAAACAATACACTCAGTATCATGGAGGGTAGAGGTCTGCCTGAAACAATACACTCAGTATCATGGAGGGTAGAGGTCTGCCTGAAAGAATATATTCAGTATCATGGAGGGTAGAGGTCTGCCTGAAAGAATACACTCAGTATAATGGAGGGTAGAGGTCTGCCTGAAACAATACACTCAGTATCATGGAGGGTAGAGGTCTGCCTGAAAGAATATATTCAGTATCATGGAGGGTAGAGGTCTGTCTGAAACAATACACTCCATATCATGGAGGGTAGAGTTCAGCCTGAAACAATACACTCAGTATCATGGAGGGTAGAGGTCAGCCTGAAACAATACACTCAGTATTATGGAGGGTAGAGGTCTGCCTGAAACAATACACTCAGTATCATGGAGGGTAGAGGTCTGCCTGAAACAATACACTCAGTATCATGGAGGGTAGAGGTCTGCCTGAAAGAATATATTCAGTATCATGGAGGGTAGAGGTCTGCCTGAAAGAATACACTCAGTATAATGGAGGGTAGAGGTCTGCCTGAAACAATACACTCAGTATCATGGAGGGTAGAGGTCTGCCTGAAAGAATATATTCAGTATCATGGAGGGTAGAGGTCTGTCTGAAACAATACACTCCATATCATGGAGGGTAGAGTTCAGCCTGAAACAATACACTCAGTATCATGGAGGGTAGAGATCTGTCTGACACAATACACTCCGTATCATGGAGGGTAGAGGTCAGCCTGAAACAATACACTCCGTGTCATGGAGGGTAGAGGTCTGCCTGAATGAATATATTCAGTATCATGGAGGGTAGAGGTCTGCCTGAAACAATACACTCAGTATCATGGAGGGTAGAGGTCTGTCTGAAATGGAGAGGGTGATAGTGTGTTACTATCGTTAAAGGCTGACGAACCTGGAGCGGAGGAGAAGTATTTCATCAGGAAGGGAGCCAGCGCTGGGATCCTCCACAGCAGGAAGACACAGACGTTGGAGGCAACCAGACCTGACACCACCTTCTGTCCCGGGCTGAAGTTGTTCCAGAGAGAGTTCAGCTGAAACAGGGCAAGGCACAGAGTTGAGCTGAAACAGGGCAAGGCACAGAGTTGAGATGAAACAGGACAAGGCACAGAGTTCAGATGAAACAGGACAAGGCACAGAGTTCAGCTGAAACAGGGCAAGGCACAGAGTTCAGCTGAAACAGGACAAGGCACAGAGTTCAGCTGAAACAGGACAAGGCACAGAGTTCAGCTGAAACAGGACAAGGCACAGAGTTCAGCTGAAACAGGGCAAGGCACAGAGTTCAGCTGAAACAGGGCAAGGCACAGAGTTGAGATGAAACAGGACAAGGCACAGAGTTGAGATGAAACAGGACAAGGCACAGAGTTCAGCTGAAACAGGGCAAGGCACAGAGTTGAGATGAAACAGGGCAAGGCACAGAGTTCAGCTAAAACAGGGCAAGGCACAGAGTTCAGCTGAAACAGGGCAAGGCACAGAGTTCAGCTGAAACAGGACAAGGCACAGAGTTGAGATGAAACAGGACAAGGCACAGAGTTCAGCTGAAACAGGGCAAGGCACAGAGTTGAGCTGAAACAGGGCAAGGCACAGAGTTCAGCTGAAACAGGGCAAGGCACAGAGTTCAGCTGAAACAGGACAAGGCACAGATTTCAGCTGAAACAGGGCAAGGCACAGAGTTCAGCTGAAACAGGGCAAGGCACAGAGTTCAGCTGAAACAGGACAAGGCACAGAGTTCAGCTGAAACAGGACAAGTCACAGAGTTGAGATGAAACAGGGCAAGGCACAGAGTTCAGCTGAAACGGGACAAGTCACAGAGTTCAGCTGAAACAGGGCAAGGCACAGAGTTGAGATGAAACAGGACAAGGCACAGAGTTGAGATGAAACAGGGCAAGGCACAGAGTTGAGATGAAACAGGACAAGGCACAGAGTTGAGCTGAAACTGGACAAGGCACAGAGTTCAGCTGAAACTGGACAAGGCACCGAGTTCAGCTGAAACAGGACAAGGCACAGAGTTCAGCTGAAACAGGACAAGGCACAGAATTCAGCTGAAACAGGGCAAGGCACAGAGTTCAGCTGAAACAGGACAAGGCACAGAGTTCAGCTGAAACAGGGCAAGGCACAGAGTTGAGATGAAACAGGACAAGGCACAGAGTTGAGATGAAATAGGGCAAGGCACAGGGTTGAGATGAAACAGGGCAAGGCACAGAGTTGAGATGAAACAGGACAAGGCACAGAGTTGAGATGAAACAGGGCAAGGCACAGAGTTGAGATGAAACAGGGCAAGGCACAGAGTTGAGATGAAACAGGACAAGGCACAGAGTTGAGATGAAACAGGACAAGGCACAGAGTTGAGATGAAACAGGGCAAGGCACAGAGTTGAGATGAAACAGGGCAAGGCACAGAGTTGAGATGAAACAGGACAAGGCACAGAGTTGAGATGAAACAGGACAAGGCACAGAGTTGAGATGAAACAGGACAAGGCACAGAGTTGAGATGAAACAGGACAAGGCACAGAGTTGAGCTGAAACTGGACAAGGCACAGAGTTCAGCTGAAACAGGACAAGGTACAGAATTCAGCTGAAACAGGACAAGGCACAGAGTTGAGATGAAACAGGACAAGGCACAGAGTTGAGATGAAACAGGGCAAGGCACAGAGTTGAGATGAAACAGGGCAAGGCACAGAGTTCAGATGAAACAGGACAAGGCACAGAGTTGAGATGAAACAGGACAAGGCACAGAGTTGAGATGAAACAGGACAAGGCACAGAGTTCAGCTGAAACAGGACAAGTCACAGAGTTGAGATGAAACAGGGCAAGGCACAGAGTTCAGCTGAAACAGGACAAGTCACAGAGTTGAGATGAAACAGGACAAGGCACAGAGTTGAGATGAAACAGGACAAGGCACAGAGTTCAGCTGAAACAGGGCAAGGCACAGAGTTCAGCTGAAACAGGACAAGGCACAGAGTTCAGCTGAAACAGGGCAAGGCACAGAGTTGAGATGAAACAGGACAAGGCACAGAGTTGAGATGAAACAGGGCAAGGCACAGAGTTGAGATGAAACAGGACAAGGCACAGAGTTCAGCTGAAACTGGACAAGGCACAGAGTTCAGCTGAAACAGGACAAGGCACAGAGTTCAGCTGAAACAGGGCAAGGTACAGAATTCAGCTGAAACAGGGCAAGGCACAGAGTTCAGCTGAAACAGGACAAGGCACAGAGTTCAGCTGAAACAGGACAAGGCACAGAGTTCAGCTGAAACGGGACAAGTCACAGAGTTCAGCTGAAACAGGGCAAGGCACAGAGTTGAGATGAAACAGGACAAGGCACAGAGTTGAGATGAAACAGGGCAAGGCACAGAGTTCAGCTGAAACAGGACAAGGCACAGAGTTCAGCTGAAACAGGACAAGGCACAGAGTTGAGATGAAACAGGACAAGGTACAGAGTTGAGATGAAACAGGACAAGGTACAGAGTTGAGATAAAACAGGACAAGGCACAGAGTTGAGATGAAACAGGGCAGGGCATAGATTGATGGGTGTGGTGATAGTGGTTGTACATACATGCGCTCGAAATCCAAAACTCTTTGCCAGTGCTGCATCTAAGTTCTTTGTGTTCCCCTCATTCTGATGGCGCCTGGCGTAGTAGCGGAGAGTCTCATACTGCCACACCATTGCCCCCGTGAAGCTGGCCCCACACACCTGCAACAAGACGTCCTACATACAGTCCAAGCCCCACACACCTGCAACAAGACGTCCTACATACAGTCCTAGTTCAACACACCTGCAACAAGATGTCCTACATACAGTCCTAGTCCTACACACCTGCAACAAGATGTCCTACATACAGTCCTAGTCCCACACACCTGCAACAAGATGTACTACATACAGTCCTAGTCCCACACACCTGCAACAAGATGTACTACATACAGTCCTAGTCCCACACACCTGCAACAAGACGTCCTACATACAGTCCTAGTCCTACACACCTGCAACAAGATGTCCTACATACAGTCCTAGTTCTACACACCTGCAACAACACGTCCTACATACAGTCCTAGTTCTTCACACCTGCAACAAGACGTCCTACATACAGTCCTAGTTCTACACACCTGCAACAAGATGTACTACATACAGTCCTAGTCCCACACACCTGCAACAAGATGTCCTACATACAGTCCTACTACTACACACCTGCAACAAGACGTCCTACATACAGTCCTAGTTCAACACACCTGCAACAAGATGTACTACATACAGTCCTAGTCCCACACACCTGCAACAAGATGTCCTACATATAGTCCTAGTCCCACACACCTGCAACAACATGTCCTACATACAGTCCTAGTTCAACACACCTGCAACAAGACGTCCTACATACAGTCCTAGTCCTACACACCTGCAACAAGATGTCCTACATAGAGTCCTAGTCCCACACACCTGCAACAAGATGTCCTACATACAGTCCTAGTCCCACACACCTGCAACAAGATGTCCTACATACAGTCCTAGTCCCACACACCTTCAACAAGATGTCCTACATACAATCCTAGTCCCACACACCTGCAACAAGATGTCCTACATCCAGTCCTAGTCCTACACACCTGCAACAAGACGTCCTACATACAGTCCTAGTCCAACACACCTGCAACAAGATGTCCTACATACAGTCCTAGTCCCACACACCTGCAACAAGATGTCCTACATACAGTCCTAGTCCCACACACCTGCAACAAGATGTCCTACATACAGTCCTAGTTCCACACACCTGCAACAAGATCTCCTACATAGAGTCCTAGTCCCACACACCTGCAACAAGATGTCCTACACACAGTCCTAGTTCAACACACCTGCAACAAGATGTCCTACATACAGTCCTAGTCCCACACACCTGCAACAAGATCTACTACATACAGTCCTAGTTCAACACACCTGCAACAACATGTCCTACATACAGTCCTAGTCCCACACACCTGCAACAAGACGTCCTACATACAGTCCTAGTTCCACACACCTGCAACAAGATGTCCTACATACAGTACTAGTCCAACACACCTGCAACAAGATGTCCTACATACAGTCCTAGTCCGACACACCTGCAACAAGACGTCCTACATACAGTCCTAGTTCCACACACCTGCAACAAGATGTCCTACATAGAGTCCTAGTCCCACACACCTACAACAAGATGTCCTACATACAGTCCTAGTTCAACACACCTGCAACAAGATGTCCTACATACAGTCCTAGTCCGACACACCTGCAACAAGACGTCCTACATACAGTCCTAGTCCAACACACCTGCAACAACATGTCCTACATACAGTCCTAGTCCTACACACCTGCAACAAGACGTCCTACATACAGTCCTAGTCCCACACACCTGCAACAAGATGTCCTACATACAGTCCTAGTCCCACACACCTGCAACAAGATGTCCTACATACAGTCCTAGTCCTACACACCTGCAACAAGACGTCCTACATACAGTCCTAGTCAAACACACCTGCAACAAGATGTCCTACATACAGTCCTAGTCCCAGACACCTGCAACAAGATGTACTACATACAGTCCTAGTCCCACACACCTGCAACAAGACGTCCTACATACAGTCCTAGTCCAACACACCTGCAACAAGACTTCCTACATACAGTCCTAGTCCAACACACCTGCAACAAGATGTCCTACATACAGTCCTAGTCCGACACACCTGCAACAAGACGTCCTACATACAGTCCTTGTCCCACACACCTGCAACAAGATGTCCTACATACAGTCCTAGTCCAACACACCTGCAACAAGACGTCCTACATACAGTCCTAGTCCTACACACCTGCAACAAGACGTCCTACATACAGTCCTAGTCCCACACACCTGCAACAAGATGTCCTACATACAGTCCTAGTCCCACACACCTGCAACAAGATGTCCTACATACAGTCCTAGTCCTACACACCTGCAAGAAGACGTCTTACATACAGTCCTAGTCCAACACACCTGCAACAAGATGTCCTACATACAGTCCTAGTCCCTCACACCTGCAACAAGATGTCCTACATACAGTCCTAGTCCCACACACCTGCAACAAGATGTCCTACATACAGTCCTAGTCCAACACACCTGCAACAAGATGTCCTACATACAGTCCTAGTCCGACACACCTGCAACAAGACGTCCTACATACAGTCCTTGTCCCACACACCTGCAACAAGACGTCCTACATACAGTCCTAGTCCAACACACCTGCAACAAGATGTCCTACATACAGTCCTAGTCCTACACACCTGCAACAAGACGTCCTACATACAGTCCTAGTCCCACACACCTGCAACAACATGTCCTACATACAGTCCTAGTCCTACACACCTGCAACAAGATGTCCTACATACAGTCCTAGTCCCACACACCTGCAACAAGATGTCCTACATACAGTCCTAGTTCCACACACCTGCAACAAGATGTCCTACATACAGTCCTAGTCCCACACACCTACAACAAGATGTCCTACATACAGTCCTAGTTCAACACACCTGCAACAAGATGTCCTACATACAGTCCTAGTCCCACACACCTGCAACAAGATGTCCTACATACAGTCCTAGTCCCACACACCTGCAACAAGATGTCCTACATACAGCCCTAGTTCAACACACCTGCAACAAGATGTCCTACATACAGTCCTAGTCCAACACACCTACAACAAGACGTCCTACATACAGTCCTAGTTCAACACACCTGCAACAATATGTCCTACATACAGTCCTAGTCCCACACACCTGCAACAAGTTGTCCTACATACAGTCCTAGTCCCACACACCTGCAACATGATGTCCTACATACAGTCCTAGTCCCACACACCTACAACAAGATGTCCTACATATAGTCCTAGTCAGACACACCTGCAACAAGATGTCCTACATACAGTCCTAGTCCAACACACCTGCAACAACATGTCCTACATACAGTCCTAGTCCGACACACCTGCAACAAGATGTCCTACAGACAGTCCTAGTCCCACACACCTGCAACAAGATGTCCTACATACAGTCCTAGTTCAACACACCTGGAACAAGATGTACTACATACAGTCCTAGTTCAACACACCTGCAACATGTCCTACATACAGTCCTAGTCCTACACATCTGCAACAAGATGTCCTATATATAGTCCTTGTACCATACACCTACAACAAGATATCCTACATACAGTCCTAGTCCCACACACATGCAACAAGATGTCCTACATACAGTCCTAGTCCTACACACCTCCAACAAGATGTCCTACATACAGTCCTAGTCCCACGCTCCTGCAACAAGATGTCCTACATACAGTCCTAGTCCAACACACCTACAACAAGATGTCCTACATATAGTCCTAGTCCCACACACCTGCAACAAGATGTCCTACATACAGTCCTAGTCCAACACACCTGCAACAAGATGTCCTACATACAGTCCTAGTCCTACACACCTGCAACAAGATGTCCTACATAGTCCTAGTCCCACACACCTGCAACAAGATGTCCTACATACAGTCCTAGTCCCACACACCTGCAACAACATGTCCTACATACAGTCCTAGTCCTACACACCTGCAACAAGACGTCCTACATACAGTCCTAGTCCAACACACCTGCAACAAGATTTCCTACATATAGTCCTAGTCACACACACCTGCAACAACATGTACTACATACAGGCCTAGTTCAACACACCTGCAACATGTCCTACATACAGTCCTAGTCCTACACACCTGCAACAAGATATCCTACATATAGTCCTAGTCCCACACACCTACAACAAGATGTCCTACATACAGTCCTAGTCAGACACACCTGCAACAAGATGTCCTACATACAGTCCTAGACCCACACACCTGCAACAAGATGTCTTACATACAGTCCTAGTCCCACACACCTGCAACAAGATGTCCTACATACAGTCCTAGTCCTACACACCTGCAACAAGATGTCCTACATACAGTCCTATTCCCACGCACCTGCAACAACATGTCCTACATACAGTCCTAGTTCCACACACCTGCAACAAGATGTCCTACATACAGTCCTAGTCCCACGCACCTGCAACAAGATGTCCTACATACAGTCCTAGTCCCACACACCTGCAACAAGATGTCCTACATACAGTCCTAGTCCTACACACCTGCAACAAGATGTCCTACATACAGTCCTATTCCCACGCACCTGCAACAACATGTCCTACATACAGTCCTAGTTCCACACACCTGCAACAAGATGTCCTACATACAGTCCTAGTCCCACGCACCTGCAACAAGATGTCCTACATACAGTCCTAGTCCCACACACCTGCAACAAGAGGTCCTACATACAGTCCTAGTCCCACACACCTGCAACAACATGTCCTACATACAGTCCCAGTCCCACACACCTGCAACAAGATGTCCTACATACAGTCCTAGTTCCACACACCTGCAACAAGATGTCCTACATACAGTCCTAGTTCAACACACCTGCAACAAGATGTCCTACATACAGTCCTAGTTCAACACACCTGCAACAACATGTCCTTCATACAGTCCTAGTCCCACACACCTGCAACAAGATGTCCTACATACGGTCCTAGTCCCACACACCTGCAACAAGATGTCCTACATACAGTCCTAGTCCCACACACCTGCAACAAGATGTCCTATATATAGTCCTAGTCCCACACACCTGGAACAAGATGTCCTACATACAGTCCTAGTCCCACACACCTGCAACAAGATGTCCTACATACAGTCCTAGTCCTACACACCTGCAACAAGATGTCCTACATACAGTCCTAGTCCCACGCACCTGCAACAAGATGTACTACATACAGTCCTAGTTCAACACACCTGCAACAAGATGTCCTACATACAGTCCTAGCCCCACACACCTGCAACAACATGTCCTACATACAGTCCTAGTTCCACACACCTGCAACAAGATGTCCTACATACAGTCCTAGTCCCACGCACCTGCAACAAGATGTACTACATACAGTCCTAGTCCCACACACCTGCAACAAGATGTCCAACATACAGTCCTAGTTAAACACACCTGCAACAAGATGTCCTACATACAGTCCTAGTCCCACACACCTGCAACAAGATGTCCTACATACAGTCCTAGTTCAACACACCTGCAACAAGATGTCCTACATACAGTCCTAGTTCCACACACCTGCAACAAGATGTCCTACATACAGTCCTAGTTAAACACACCTGCAACAAGATGTCCTACATACAGTCCTAGTCCCACACACCTGCAACAAGATGTCCTACATACAGTCCTAGTCCCACACACCTGCAACAAGATGTCCTAAATACGGTCCTAGTCCCACACACCTGGAACAAGATGTCCTACATACAGTCCTAGTCCCACACACATGCAACAAGATGTCCTATATATAGTCCTAGTCCGACACACCTGCAACAAGATGTCCTACATACAGTCCTAGTCCCACACACCTGCAACAAGATGTCCTACATACAATCCTAGTACCACACACCTGCAACAACATGTCCTACATACAGTCCTAGTCCAACACACCTGCAACAAGATGTACTACATACAGTCCTAGTCCCACACACCTGCAACAAGATGTACTACATACAGTCCTAGTCCCACACACCTGCAACAAGATGTCCTACATACAGTCCTAGTCCCACACACCTGCAACAAGATGTCCTATGTACAGTCCTAGTCCCACACACCTGCAACAAGATGTCCTACATACAGTCCTAGTCCCACACACCTGCAACAAGATGTCCTACATACAGTCCTAGTTCAACACACCTGCAACAAGATGTCCTACATACAGTCCTAGTCCAACACACCTGCAACAAGATGTCCTACAGGCCACCTGTCTTTAATTAAGTTTGGCGACTAAATATCTCTTGTCATAAGATATTAAAAAAGATCACTTTTAATATAAGTGTGGTAACTTCAGTGAAAAAAATTGATATCAGAACATAATAACATCAACTAGATCACTGCTAGGCCATGTGTACTGTTTTCGCTTTCGCTATGAAGCTCCATACCTGGAATGAAGGAAGCACTTTCCGTTATTAGGTAATGCACTAACGATGTTAAGAGTTTAGTACCCACGCATGCGCTGTACGGCATCCGCCCAGGTGACAGCTGTGGCGGTCGTTTCGCCGTTCAAAAACACGAAGTATTTTTCCATATTGGCGCAAGTCAAAACAACAACAAATCGTTGTCAATCGGCAAATGATGAATACCGTATTTTCTTTAGTATAGTGCACACCCCTCTCTAGCAGATTCAGTATTTTTTGGGGAAAAAAATTTCCAATAGATCTACCAAGCGCAGAAGAAAAATCACACCGTAGATATATCTACCCCTTCAGCGAAGTCTGGCAAACAAACGGGTGATGAGAAACTTGGTCAGTACAAATTCGAAATTTGAGATAAAAAATCACCAGACATGTTGATTAAATTGTATTTTTTTGTTCTGCTAGGCATTGTTTTATATCCATGGATTAAGATTACCTTGTGTATTTTCTCGTAAACTAAGCCGGACACAGCTATCAGCTGTACACACATGTTCTTGGAATCTACCGGTGATTCGGTCAAGACACACCCATTGATATAACTTTACAGGGTTTTAATGCAAGGATCGGCAAAATTCTTATCTGAAACTATTTTTTTATCAGGAATAATATATTCCAATATCTTGTTAATTTAGATGCAGCTTTTACTAAACATATTTGAAATAATAATAACCCTAAGCGAAGCAGCTGATTGCTATTTCCGGGTATTATTTTTTACATGGAACCAGTCTGACCAGTCACCGTCAAGGCTCCAGCGTACGTGATCGCGTGATCGCGAGAATTATGTGTTGACATAGAATTGTCCAACAAAATCAAATATGACTTTTAACGAGTCAAAGTATGGCATTTATGACATATGTATCCATTCTCTGTCAACTAAAGTTTGTTTCAAGGCGTCAATAGCAGTAATCTGACCGTGGTTTCTGTTAATAAAGGTGTGTTGTGCGATCTTCCGATCGCTTCACACACGATTTCGCCAAAATTAATTAAAAGTATAAAAATATTAAAAGTAATTTTGAATAAAATTAATGAAATAAGTTACACACATAAGTCCAGATATACAAAGAACATGTTTTATAGTCAGACAGTGTAATTACATGATTAATTTGCGTATCTCAGTATGGATTTGTTGACATGGTATTTCCGGTGTTACGTGCTCACGGTAATGTCTTTCCATGGGGGAAAAACATCAAAACTCATTATTTCGTGTATAATGCGCACCCCTTCTACACAACTGTGGTTGGTTTTTTTAAAAATGCGCAGTATACTCAGGAAAATACGGAATGCTTCGAATGGCTAAGCTGACACAGAAGTTTCATCGTCTGTCGACACGTTCGATGAACCAAAACCTGCAACTGGCACCGGTAAACTGTCTGATGATGTTACTGACACAATGTTCTTAAGCTTGTCCGATGATGTTACTGACAAAATGTTCTTAAGCTTGTCTGATGATGTTACTGACACGATGTTCTTTAGATTGTCTGATGATGTTACTGACAAAATGTTCTTAAGCTTGTCTGATGATGTTACTGACACGATGTCCTAAAGCTTGTCTGATGATGTTACTGACACAATGTTCTTACGCTTGTCTGATGATGTTACTGACACAATGTTCTTAAGATTGTCTGATAATGTTACTGACACAATGTCCTAAAGCTTGTCTGATGATGTTACTGACACAATGTTCTTAAGATTGTCTGATGATGTTACTGACACGATGTCCTAAAGCTTGTCTGATGATGTTACTGACACAATGTTCTTAAGCTTGTCTGATGATGTTACTGACACAATGTTCTTAAGCTTGTCAGATGATGTTACTGACACGATGTCCTAAAGCTTGTCTGATGATGTTACTGACACAATGTTCTTAAGCTTGTCCGATGATGTTACTGACACAATGTTCTTAAGCTTGTCAGATGATGTTACTGACACGATGTCCTAAAGCTTGTCTGATGATGTTACTGACACAATGTTCTTAAGCTTGTCAGATGATGTTACTGACACAATGTTCTTAAGCTTGTCCGATGATGTTACTGACACAATGTTCTTAAGCTTGTCCGATGATGTTACTGACACAATGTTCTTAAGCATGTCTGATGATGTTACTGACACGATGTCCTAAAGCTTGTCTGATGATGTTACTGACACGATGTCCTAAAGCTTGTCTGATGATGTTACTGACACAATGTTCTTAAGCTTGTCTGATGATGTTACTGACACGATGTCCTAAAGCTTGTCTGATGATGTTACTGACATGATGTCCTAAAGCTTGTCTGATGATGTTACTGACACAATGTTCTAAAGCTTGTCTGATGATGTCACTGACGCGATGTTCTAAAGCTTGTCTGATGATGTTACTGACATAATGTTCTAAAGCTTGTCTGATGATGTTACTGACACGATGTTCTAAAGCTCGTCTGATGATGTTACTGACACATGTTCTAAAGCTTGTCTGATGATGTTACTGACACGATGTTCTAAAGCTTGTTTTTTTCTGAAAAACTCAAAAGCTTCAACAACAGTTGTTGTACATGATATAAAACTGATTATTCAAACTAATGGATTTTTTTGTGTTTTGTTATGCAGAAGCTCAGTTAAATTACAAGTCATTACTTTTGGCTCCTTACATTTTGCCTTGGCGCCTTGAAATTCTATTTGGCTCCTTGAAAAATTAATTTAGGAGCCAAGTGGCTCCTTTGAAGTTTGTGTAACCTTGTGGCCTGCATAGTGACACATTGACAGGCACAGGCACAGGCGCACACGCACACGCACACGCACACACACACACGCACACGCACACGCACACACACACACACACACACACTGACTTACAGCAACTGAGAGGCAGAATGGCTTCAGCAGACTTCCTAGTGTTGATGTGGTCTCAGGAACTACTTCTCTATCCACTTTCCTCTTTGTTCTGAAACATCTGTGTAACCATGGTAACTGATGGTGACTTCCTCTTCCATTTCGGACACACAGGAAGTGATGTAGCCGGACATGTGACTGACTGTGTAGAGGGGGTGAGATGATCCGACATCTAAAGTAGACAACACAAGGTCAGACAACCAGACACCTGACAGGAGAAAGCACAAAGTAAATGTGTGAGTATGGTTTATCACAGCAGGGCACACCAGAAATGGGCTGCACACATTGCACCCATGTCAGGAGTCCAACCTGGGTCTTCTTTGTGACGAGCGAAAGCTTTAACCACTAGGCTACCAATCCTTCAACAGCAAAAGGTAAGACAACCAGACATGTGACGACAATGACAAGACACCTGACAGAAGACAGCACAAGGGCAGACAACTAGACACCTGACAGTAGACGGCACAAGGGCAGAGAACTACACAACAGACAGTAGACAGCACAAGGGCAGACAACTAGACACCTGACAGTAGACAGCACAAGGGCAGACAACTAGACACCTGACAGTAGACAGCACAAGGGCAGACAACTAGACACCTGACAGTAGACGGCACAAGGGCAGAGAACTACACAACAGACAGTAGACAGCACAAGGGCAGACAACTAGACACCTGACAGTAGACAGCACAAGAGCAGACAACTAGACACCTGACAGTAGGCAGCACAAGGGCAGACAACCAGACACCTGACAGTAGACAGCACAAGGGCAGACAACTAGACCCCTGACAGTAGGCAGCACAAGGGCAGACAACTAGACCCCTGACAGTAGGCAGCACAAGGGCAGACAACCAGACACCTGACAGTAGGCAGCAGAAGGGCAGACAACTAGACCCCTGACAGTAGACAGCACAAGGGCAGACAACTAGACACCTGACAGAAGACAGCACAAGGGCAGACAACTAGACACCTGACAGTAGACAGCACAAGGGCAGACAACTAGACACCTGACAGTAGACCGCACAAGGGCAGACAACTAGACACCTGACAGTAGGCAGCACAAGGGCAGACAACCAGACACCTGACAGTAGACAGCACAAGGGCAGACAACTAGACACCTGACAGTAGACAGCACAAGGGCAGACAACTAGACCCCTGACAGTAGACAGCACAAGGGCAGACAACCAGACACCTGACAGTAGGCAGCACAAGGGCAGACAACTAGACACCTGACAGTAGACAGCACAAGAGCAGACAACTAGACACCTGACAGTAGACAGCACAAGGGCAGACAACCAGACACCTGACAGTAGGCAGCACAAGGGCAGACAACCAGACACCTGACAGTAGACAGCACAAGGGCAGACAACTAGACCCCTGACAGTAGGCAGCACAAGGGCAGACAACTAGACCCCTGACAGTAGGCAGCACAAGGGCAGACAACCAGACACCTGACAGTAGGCAGCACAAGGGAAGACAACCAGACACCTGACAGTAGGCAGCACAAGGGCAGACAACCAGACACCTGACAGTAGGCAGCACAAGGGCAGACAACCAGACACCTGACAGTAGACAGCACAAGGGCAGACAACCAGACACCTGACAGTAGACAGCACAAGGGCAGACAACTAGACCCCTGACAGTAGACAGCACAAGGGCAGACAACCAGACACCTGACAGTAGGCAGCACAAGGGCAGACAACTAGACACCTGACAGTAGACAGCACAAGAGCAGACAACTAGACACTTGACAGTAGACAGCACAAGGGCAGACAACCAGACACCTGACAGTAGGCAGCACAAGGGCAGACAACCAGACACCTGACAGTAGACAGCACAATGGCAGACAACTAGACCCCTGACAGTAGGCAGCACAAGGGCAGACAACTAGACCCCTGACAGTAGGCAGCACAAGGGCAGACAACCAGACACCTGACAGTAGGCAGCACAAGGGCAGACAACCAGACACCTGACAGTAGGCAGCACAAGGGAAGACAACCAGACACCTGACAGTAGGCAGCACAAGGGCAGACAACCAGACACCTGACAGTAGGCAGCACAATGGAAGAACGAGCAACGAGCAGAGTACCTTCAAGCTGGATCCTCGTTTCATCAAGCAATCGCAATGTCGAGATTCATCTACCATGTTTACAGCTCAAAGTAAAGTGCAGGCCGTAAGGCCCGCTGAATTTTAAAGTTGACAGCCCTGTACATAGGAAGCTGCCAAAGTGGGGACACAGATACTCTAGATCATCACAATTTACTATGATAGTATCCCCGCTCACTGCGTTTTCGAGCCCCTAAGTAGTATTACCGTATTCGACGTAATAAGCGCCCAGGGCGTTCTCAAAATTAGAAATAGGGGGTTCTTATTAGAATATTATTTGGGTGAAAAAAACAGAATTGAAAGATAAATTTCGTGGTTTATGCTGACAGCCTGAAATGCTTATATACGACAGATATATTTTTCCAGAATTTAATTGCCCATAATTAAGGAAGCATATAGCACACGAGTGCGCATTATACGTGAATAAATAAGTCTTGTGTGCATTGATCAATCGAAAGGGGTGCTAATTGGGATTGTTCACTGGCCAATATATTAGCAAATATCGCCATGGGCGCTTATAAGAACGGGGCGCTTATTACGTCGAATACGGTACTAAATACACATCTAATAACATTCCCAATACAAATACAATAAATCTTATCTTTGAGAACATATATTCCTGTTAGTCAAATGACCACATCTTGTCAGTTTAATTGTGATAATGCCGTACCAAGCAAGACAAGTCAATCAACGCCATCTTGTTACTGTCACCTGATCAAGAGCCCCTTCATGACAGTTAGGTTTCAAAAGATGCACATCATGATCTGTCACATGACATAACAGACAGGAAATTTACAAACAGCAGCCAATACATCTACTGCAAATTATCATCAGATCAAGTTTGATTAAAATAAGCATTAGTGAAAAAGTCAGTTTAGATGTATGTTTCCATTACTTATTGAATATTTTACTTTTTGTAGCGTAATTCGTATCAGAACTTTAGCAGTCTTCAGTTGGATCTGAAGCATCTACCTTGATTACATCATTAAGCATGGTTGCGTCATGTTCATTACGTCATGTTCATGGTTACGTCATGTTCATGGTTACGTCATGTTCATGGTTATGTTTATGGTTACGTCATGTTCATGATTACGTCATGTTCATGGTTACGTCATGTTCATGGTTACGTCATGTTTAGGGGCTCAAAAATAGGTGAGACTCGGAAACATGTTAGATGGGGGTTTGCTGAGCTAGTGCATACATTAGGCAGCTAGGCCTCATACTAAAATAGTGACAACCAAGTCATTAGTTTTGCCGGAGACAATTTCATGATATTAACAAATTGTGAACATTTTAAAAATTAAAAAAAATCTTTGGCACATTTTTTTTATGACAAAGCGCTAGAGTCCTACAAAATGAACCGACCTGGGGGTAGACTTCCGCCCGTGTCTCCCATCCAAAAGATACATGTGTATGCATTGCCGCGCATTCCTTTTAATCAAATACATTTTTAGGGCGGGGAGGGGTTGGGAGGGGTTGGGAGGGGGTGGGGTGTAGTGAGCACACTTAATGTAAGGCGACAACAGACAAACTGGTTACGATTTAACTGGCCCTGTTTACGGTGCACGAAAACTGAGGGCGTGATCAACATTTGAACATCTGCAGCAATAGCGTGAGCACCACTCCCCATGAGGGCGTCCACGATTACGACGCGGCGCGTGTGGTTTATCCATGCAGAGAGTAGGGAGGCAGAATGGTTGACGCACCTGCACGGTTGTAATGTCGTCCCCACCCGGCTGCAGACTGACAGTGTTTTCACGAGTGTCATTGCGAGATCAGAGTGCTCTCCCTCAGTAACAAGCACGGCAAGCTCCTTCCCAGCGCGTGACACCTTCGTTACACTCTCGGTAACATAGTATAGAGAGCTCTGGGAACGTACTATCGCTGTGAGGAGATTGCAAGCACGGGAACGGAAAGGATCGGAAAGGGAAGCGGAATTAGACGGATATAAGCTCCCAATGTCTTATTGATTTTGAATGTGTTATGCAATATATGTGTAGTAAACAGTCAATATTCCCTTAAAAATAACATTTTAAACCTACTGCCCCCAAACTCTGTTCAGGGGCTATACAGTTAACATAAATGTTACACTATAAGGAGCAAGATGGAACTTTAAAAAGATCCACCCCCTTTTTTCACTTAAAAGGCATCATGCCACTCTGAGCAGGGTGATATCTACAGGAATATTCTCTGATTGATTGAAATCTTGGCCCACAACAATGAAACTCTGTGCACTAGTTTGTACTGTTACTAGCATCATCCAAATGGTAATATATAAACATGACACAGTACTTTAAAGGTGTCCAATGCCACTTCCAGACGGGTTAATAGTACATATCCTTTTACAAATACCAATCTTGAGGTCTCTCAATATTTGCTGATAGGTTTGTAGCCACCTGCTTAAAGGAAATATAAATATTCCACAGATTGTAGATTTAATAAGGACACTTCTTGATAACTGTAATAAAATAATCAACAAGATACTTTGATCCCGGGAATCAATATGGCGCCTAGACATTGGGTAGTATACCTACCTATTGTAGCCATTAAGCCGTCCTCAGCAACCCATGCTTGCTGTAAAAGGCGACTACGCTTGTCGTAAGAGGAGACTAACTGGATCGGGTGGTCGGGCTAGCTGATTTGGTTGATGCATGTAATCGTAGCCCAATTGCGTGTGTCGATGGTCATGATGTCAACAAACAAAACAACAAACACGCCTTACCTGTTGATGCAAGTACTTATACAGTGTCGTAAAACAACAAACACGCCTTACCTGTTGATGCAAACACGCCTTACCTGTTGATGCAAGTACTTATATAGTGTCGTAAAACAACAAACACGCCTTACCTGTTGATGCAAGTACTTATACAGTGTCGTAAAACAACAAACACGCCTTACCTGTTGATGCAAGTACTTATACAGTGTCGTAAAACAACAAACACGCCTTACCTGTTGATGCAAGTACTTATACAGTGTCGTAAAACAACAAACACGCCTTACCTGTTGATGCAAGTACTTATGCAGTGTCGTAAAACAACAAACACGCCTTACCTGTTGATGCAAGTACTTATACAGTGTCGTAAAACAACAAACACGCCTTACCTGTTGATGCAAGTACTTATGCAGTGTCGTAAAACAACAAACACGCCTTACCTGTTGATGCAAGTACTTATACAGTGTCGTAAAACAACAAACACGCCTTACCTGTTGATGCAAGTACTTATGCAGTGTCGTAAAACAACAAACACGCCTTACCTGTTGATGCAAGTACTTATACAGTGTCGTAAAACAACAAACACGCCTTACCTGTTGATGCAAGTACTTATACAGTGTTGTAAAACAACAAACACGCCTTACCTGTTGATGCAAGTACTTATACAGTGTCGTAAAACAACAAACACGCCTTACCTATTGATGCAAACACGCCTTACCTGTTGATGCAAGTACTTATATAGTGTCGTAAAACAACAAACACGCCTTACCTGTTGATGCAAGTACTTATACAGTGTCGTAAAACAACAAACACGCCTTACCTGTTGATGCAAGTACTTATACAGTGTCGTAAAACAACAAACACGCCTTACCTGTTGATGCAAGTACTTATGCAGTGTCGTAAAACAACAAACACGCCTTACCTGTTGATGCAAGTACTTATGCAGTGTCGTAAAACAACAAACACGCCTTACCTGTTGATGCAAGTACTTATGCAGTGTCGTAAAACAACAAACACGCCTTACCTGTTGATGCAAGTACTTATACAGTGTTGTAAAACAACAAACACGCCTTACCTGTTGATGCAAGTACTTATACAGTGTCGTAAAACAACAAACACGCCTTACCTGTTGATGCAAGTACTTATACAGTGTTGTAAAACAACAAACACGCCTTACCTGTTGATGCAAGTACTTATACAGTGTCGTAAAACAACAAACACGCCTTACCTATTGATGCAAACACGCCTTACCTGTTGATGCAAGTACTTATATAGTGTCGTAAAACAACAAACGCGCCTTACCTGTTGATGCAAGCACTTGTACAGTGTCGTAAAACAACAAACGCGCCTTACCTGTTGATGCAAGCACTTGTACAGTGTCGTAAAACAACAAACGCGCCTTACCTGTTGATGCAAGCACTTGTACAGTGTCGTAAAACAACAAACGCGCCTTACCTGTTGATGCAAGCACTTGTACAGTGTCGTAAAACAACAAACGCGCCTTACCTGTTGATGCAAGCACTTGTACAGTGTCGTCCAACAACAAACGCGCCTTACCCATTGATGCAAGCACTTGTACAGTGTCGTAAAACAACAAACACTCCTTACCCGTTGATGCAAGTACTTATATAGTGTCGTAAAATGCACACATGTAACCCAGGAGTAAAACAAAACTGCAATTTGCATATGCTAGCTTCAGAATCAGCAATAAGCATATTACACACTTGAGTTTAAATAATCATGTAATATACTAGTAGAAAACAAATATATTATGAAAACAAAACTATTCTTTAAAAAAACAAGAAACGCAAAGCCAGATTTGTGTGAGGTAGGAAAATGCATTTATACGAACAAGGTTGTGGAGAGAACACTTGGTGATTGTTGTCATCTCAGTTATCGTTCGTAGGGAAAGTCCAAGATGAAGGTCAGCTTCCATCAATAACGCGTCTCCTGTTGGAATCGATAGTGGCCTGAAATCTCCTGCCAATGGAAGAGACGAGTATACCAATCACATCCTGGGGAAAGGTAGTCAACTCGGCATGCAACGCAAAAGTCAACTGCTGCAACGCCTGGGGCTGTGGTTGACGTCGGCGTAGCCGTCTATCCAATCATCCCTGGAGGTCCAGGGGAGAACATCAACGTTGTTGTTGTTGTTGTTGTTGTTGTGTAGACAGGCTCTTGTGATCCATGCTGTATGGGGCTGTGCTTTGTCCTGTTGGAATACACGGTTGCCTTTGGCTGCAGTTGGGAGGACCTTTGGCTGCAGTTGGGAGGACCTTTGGCAGGAGAATTTCGTTGATGTATCGTTGAGCCGTGAGATTGCTCTGATTATGGACCAAACCTGTGATGCCCTGATGAGAGATACCCACTACCCCAACCAAACCTGTTCGCTGCATGCAGTTTCTGGCGTAAGGTTCTCCGCTGTGCTCCTCCATCCCCGCGACGGTTGAGAAATCTTGATTCGTCGCTGAACCAGACATCTCTCAATGGCAGTTGAGACCATACCCTGTGTTGACGACACCAATGCAGTCGTTGTTGCGATGTTGTCAAAGCAATATGACGCGTCTAACACAATGTCTTGCTCGTAGACCTGCTGCTCTTAAACGGTATCGTACAGCCTGTCGGAGATGCCTTGTGATGGTGCTTAGTGCTACATTGAAAACCCTGCTACAGCTGATCAGGATTCCCCTGTCTGCAAGCACCCTATCATGTTGCTTCTTTGCACTTCTGATAATCTTGGCATGTTGTTGAAATGTCACTGTTCTATTGATGATGATGATTAGTAAAATGTTTTATAGGTGTTCGGGCAACTAGGCCCATTTACACCTTGCCCATAATAAAGGTTTGCTAAGTACCTGGATATTTTATAAAGTATCAAAACTGCCACATGCTTTAATATAAGCGAGAATGACATTCTGAATATCATGGTGAACAATATTTCTAGAACATAAAATACCAGACAATGAGAAGTCAATATTGAGAACTGTTAGAGACTCCACCATTGCCTGATTAACATACTTTTGGCAATGCAATAAAACATCAAGCTGATTACACACTGTACAATGTGCAGAAATGTCTTTATTAATAACATTTAGATAAGCACCAAGGCCACAATGTCCAAGACGAAGTCTGGTTAAGAGAACCTCCTCTCTCCGATTATTTCTAGATATGTGTAATTTAGTGATAAAAGGATCGATGCCAAAGAGATGACATCCTTTTAAGGATGATGCCCATCTCTGCTGCCATTTTGTTTTAGCATGGGCCATACTGACGGTGCCTAACTCTGCAGGAGAAAGTAAAATTGTTTCAGCCTGTTCACATTCATCAAATTCTAATGCAGCTTTTGCCAATTTATCAGCTTTCTCATTTCCAAGTAATCCAACATGAGCGGGGATCCATGAAAATTCAACATCTAACAGATCTTTACTTAAGTCATTACAAAGGACGAGAATAATGTTGATCAAGTCCTGCCTCGCTGAAGAAGAACCTACCCGAATTGCTTGTAATGCACTGACAGAGTCACTGGAAATAACCGCTGAAACAGGCCTTAAAAAATTAATCCAATGCAAAGCTTCAATGATTGCTCCTAGTGTCATGAAAACATTCTACACAATCATTCAACACAGTTGACATTGAGTGTTTTCTCCAAAAAGATGAGAAAGATTTTAACATATACACAGTAAAAAAAGTGTTGCACCCCCTATACTTTTTCATGGAGGGGTGTTTTGAAAGGGTGTAAAGATAACCGAATTAATATTATAACCAGGATTTCGTGTATACCAACAAACCAGTGTATTGTCTATACAATGAACTTAAATGGGGTATTCCATGACCTTATGGCATGTAATAATCTCATGCTGAACTTTTACGAAAAATGAACGAACAATGAAGTCGCATTAAGTATGGTGACATCTCAATAATTTTTAGTGACCAAATTCATCCAATAGGGTAAGAATGTCATATGGAGATTTGACGAACACAGTAAGTCAATATCGAGAACTTCCACCAAGCACTTGGATCACAGCTTGAAGTCTTCGTCTCATACTCCTCACCAGACGTTGGAATCGCTCCATGGGCTCCATCGCTGCTGCCACTCCTCGTGTAATGCTGCTTCCAATTCACGCAAGT